GTAGTTACAGAACTCCATAATAAATCTAACTGCAGTGTATGTTTAGGGTAGTTACAGAATTCTATAATAAATGTAACTGCAGTGTATGTTTAGGGTAGTTACAGAATTCTCTAATAAATCTAACTGCAGTGTATGTTTAGGGTAGTTACAGAATTCTCTAATAAATCTAACTGCAGTGTATGTTTAGGGTAGTTACAGAACTCTAGTAAATCTAACTACAGTGTATGTTTAGGGTAGTTACAGAACTCTATAATAAATCTAACTGCAGTGTATGTTTAGGGTAGTTACAGAACTCTCTAATAAATCTAACTGCAGTGTATGTTTAGAGTTTTGTAACTACCCTGCAGTTAGATTTATTAGAGAGTTCTGTAACTACCCTAAACATACACTGCAGTTAGATTTATTAGTGTATGTTTAGGGTAGTTACAGAACTCTAATAAATCTAACTGCAGTGTATGTTTAAGGTAGCTTCCCATATGTGCATATGTTTACATAATATAAACAAATACATTTTTACAGACATTATACTAACTGTAGGAGGATCAACGTATATAAACACCAATTAGTGCCTCTAAGGAAGAGGATCTCATGTTAACGATGAGATTGTTTTTTAATCTTACACCAATTAGTGCCTCTAAGGAAGAGGATCTCATGTTAACGATGAGATTGTTTTTTAATCTTACACCAACACCAATTAGTGCCTCTAAGGAAGAGGATCTCATGTTAATGATGAGATTGTTTTTTAATTTTATGCAGACATCAATGAGTGCCTCCAAGGAAGAGGACCTTGTGGATTTGGTGCCATTTGTACCAACTTGCCAGGGAACTACAAATGCATCTGTCCTTCAGGCCTTGTTGGTGATCCATATAAAGAAAACTGTAAGTCAAAGCTTCATTTTCTTGTTTCATAATAACCACAATTTATCTTAGATTTTGTTACTGTTTTTTCATTCCATTTTCTCCAAACTTAATGTATGATACCAACTTTGACATATTATTATTATTACTCATTACCAGATTAACCTGTAACGGTGTAAGCCAGATGATAAATTTTATTCGGGTGTACAGAGCACTTAAAGCTTGTGTACAATGTTCTTGTGTTATTTATTAACATTAATATATATTTCTTTTATCAGAATATTACTGAATAACAAAAGGTTGCCTAGTACAAATTTGCTATGTGATCTGGTGTTTAAACTATGTGTAACTGTTATTAGAAGTGGGTATATTATTTTTGAATTTTCAACAAAAAAGGCCGTCAGCCCATCACCGGGTGTAGGCGAGACGAAGATTGCAAGCTCAATGAAGCATGTAAGAGAATCAATGGGGAGTGTTATGGTAAGAATTACTTTACAATTAATATAACCATTTCTTAACTAGTATCAATCACAGAATCATTAATGTTTTCTTTATATAAATAACATTAATTTTTTGTAATTTACACTCATAGATGAAAATATGGCAATGCAGATATATTATATATAAATACTATTTGTATAATCTTTGTTCTTACATACTTTTGTAAAACATAAAACTTTTGACTTTATAGTTGAGAATACAATAAAGGAAAAAAATAAAACAGGTTAGTTTACCATTCTGTACCCTTTGTTTCACCGTAATCCATTAATGCTTCTGACATTTTTTCTAGATGTGTGTTCCAAACCTGGCATCTGTGGCAAAGGAGCCATTTGCCGTGCACTCAACCACCAGTCGGAATGTTACTGCCCAAGTGGACTAACTGGCAACCCCTATGTTGAGTGTAGTATAAGTAAGTGTATATGAATAGGGTTGAGTGTAGTATAAGTAAGTGTATATGAATATGGGTTGAGTGTAGTATAAGTAAGTGTATATGAATAAGGGTTGAGTGTAGTATAAGTAAGTGTATATGAATATGGGGTTGAGTGTAGTATAAGTAAGTGTATATTAATAGGGTTGAGTGTAGTATAAGTAAGTGTATATATATGACTTAAAGATGTGAAACATTTATTGTTGTTTCTTGTATTATATAGGAATGTCACAAAAATGGTATGTGTAATATTTATTTGTGTCTAAGGAAAGCTTTATATTGTTTATCATGTATAAAGATAGTATGAGTATTGTTTAAATGGTATTGTTTGTGTCTAAGGAAAGCTTTATATTGTTTATCATGTATAAAGATAGTATGCGTATTGTTTTTGTAGTGTTTAGACACATCTGATGATAGCATATGTATTGGTTAATTGTGTCTAAGGATATATTGTGTATTGCTTGCATCTTTAAAGGATTGTATAAGTATTGTTTATTTGTGCCTAAGAATAGCATTTGTATTGTTTAATTGTGTATTGTTTAATTATGTCTAAAGATGACGTGTGTATGAAAGGTACTTGTAATGTTTCTTTGCAGTTCAAACTTGTCAAAAACATGACGAATGCCTTGGAAACCTGCATTGTCTTGGAGACCGCTGTGGTTGTCCTCAACCATTTAGACAGCAAGGACTTTTCTGCATATGTAAGTAATATTTTTGTCAGCTGACATTTTGAGCTATGGTATGAAGGGGCAGTTCTTTTATCAGTGTAAAAACTTTCCAGTTTTGGCAACAGTAGTTTGTTTTTCAGTGGTGTGCAAATATATATTTGAAGTTCAGTATGTTCTATGTTTGTTAACACATTTTTACACATTACCTACAGCTGTCTAAGCTGTCAACACCATATGACAAGAACTTAATGATTGGCTACATGTTCCTTTAAATTTTTTTTAGTTTTTAATTAGTTGTGGGAAGAATTTTCAAATCTTCAGTGAATAATGTAGCATGAATAAATTAAGCAATGGAAACCGTTTGAAAGAAAAACATCTACATATTAACTAATCTTGGCTATTTTTTAGTGACAAGCCAAAACTGCACAACTACCAACCCCTGTCCAGAGAATCAGGAATGCGTGTATGAAGGTGGACCTTATGGTTTCTGCATTTGTCCACGTGGATTTAACCTTACACCATATGGGGCTTGCAGAGGTAAATATATATATATATAAAATACTGCTCTAAGAAAAAAGATATAGGAATTTAACTAACAAAAGTTAAACTCTTCCAAATCCATATATTAACTTATTGTCCTAAATTCATTTTCTTCCATAAGCTGGACAGAAAACCATCTTTATCTTTGTATTACTTTCTTTTTCAAGATTATATTTAAGGGTAATTGTAACTCTTGTATACTGAATACATTTGTAAATATAACTACATACTTGTAATGTTGGTGGACAGAATATTACTAGCAAACTTACCAGGCTTCGCGTGGGTTATTAGGTTAATATATTTTAGCAAGTTCGTAAAATTTATCATGAAACTAAAAATATTGATCCAATTTTAAACTTAAATCGTTTCTGAATTAAGGTATTTTCTGTTATATCACCAACGTTTTTAATAATAAAAAAAAACTCTTTTAATCAACAGAGACTCTAAATTAGAAAACAACAAATATATTTTTAAAGTTTTGTTGTTTATACATTACATTCTATACTTTCAGCACATAGACTAACAACAATATTAGGTTATACTTTTATTGCTACACAACATAACATAAAAGCCATTGTTGGAATGCATTGTTACCAAAATACATTGGTTTTTTTTCTAAGTTGTTATGTAAGGAACCACTTCTTTAATATGTAGTTTTTTGCTAGCTTGTCTCATTAAAAAAATGTATGTGTGTGTGTCTGTCTGTGATTTCTGTTTGTAATATAAAGAAATACATCATTAACTAATGTTTGATACAATTATTGTGTCAGTATGGATTCTGAGTGACCAACTTATTCACCTCATCAAGATGTTGAGAAAAAAACAGTGTTCATTGATTTGGTACCAAAACTAAAATGCCATTGATAAATCAAAAACTTCATACTGAATGTTATTAGAAAAAACTATAGTCATTATTAGATAGCCAAGAAAGTGTCACTGTTACACAAAAAGTTGATTCTGCTATTGTTGAGAGAAATAATATTCACTGACTTGCAACTAAGAAGATATTGTTGGTACACCAAATAGTTCCTACTGATGTTGTTGATTATTCTTGACTTGATAGTACCCTAGATAATTTCATTCATATATCAAAACCTTGGTAACAATATTCATACTTCTTTTCTATGTGGTTTTTTGCTAGCTTGCCTCATAAAAAGATGTGCATGTGTGCATGCATATGGATAAGTAATAGTACCCAGGTGCACACCCTCATGGTCCACTTAGTATGGGTACAAAATTTCAGGTTTCTAGGTTCTTTCTTCTTGGAGATATGGCAGTCACGTATTCCTTTCTATGTGTTTTTTTGTTACCTTGTTTTATAAAATAATGTGCACATGCACATGGATAAGTAATAATAACCTCTTAGTATGTGTGCAAAATTTCAGGTTTCTAGATTCTTTCCTCTTGGAGTTATGGTGGTCACACACACATAGGCTCACAGACACACCCTTTTATTATTATAAATATACTTGTAACATTAGTGAATCAAATGTATTCATTACTATATATGTATACTTGTAACATTGATGAATTGAATATATTTATAACTATATCTGTATACTTGTAACATTGATGAATTCTTACTTTTCAGACATTGATGAATGTCAGAAGCTTCCTTTTCCATGTGCTACAGGTGCACAGTGTTACAATACCATTGGTAGTTATCGTTGTGAATGTCCTGTAGGCACTATAGGAGATCCAAATTATGGTGTTTGTAAGTGTTAAAGCAACAAAGTTTTGCATTTTGTAGTCTGGAAAATTTCCTAGCAATAAACACTTTCAAATAAAATTTTTGAATAAGCAATTCTAAACCTTTAAATCATGCTTTAGTGGTTTAAAAGCTGCTTTTACTAGATGTTCAACATGTAATTTACTCATGTAATTCAGAACATTCTGTACACTTAAGAAGTAACTTTTATAACTCAAATCATTTCTTTGTATAAAATAAATTCTATTGGTTGAAAAATCAACCGATGATTATCTGAACCTAATAAACATTGGAGAAACAAATAAAAAGTTTAATATTGGTTTAAATTGCTTCAGGTTTGAATATTTACATTCTTTTGTCCAGGTAAGGTTCCTGAAGGTGAGTGTCGTATAGATGACGACTGCCCCTTGCACGAAGCTTGTAATGTTGCATTAAAGAAATGTTATGGTAAGTTTTGTTTTCATTCAAATTCTGATATTGCTTTCTGGATTTTTATCAATAATTAATTATTTGACAGTTAGATATTTTATACAGTCAGAAAGTCATTCAGTATGTGTCTTGTAGGTGTTCCCTGAAGTCATAATATAATACAGTATGTGTTGTGTAGGTGTTCCGTGGAGCCATAATATAACACAGTATGTGTTGTGTAGGTGTTCCCTGAGGTCATAATATAACACAGTATGTGTTGTGTAGGTGTTCCATGAAGCCATAATAATATACACTGTGTTGTGTAGGTGTTCCGTGGAGCCATAATAAAATACACTGTGTTGTGTAGGTGTTCTGTGGAGCCATAATATGATACACTGTTGTGTAGGTGTTCCATGGAGTCATAATATGATACACTGCATTGTGTAGGTGTTCCATAGAGCCATAATATAATACACTGTGTTGTGTAGGTGTTTCATGAAGTCATAATATAATACACTATGTGTTGTGTAGGCATTTCATGAAGTTATAATATAATACACCATATGTTGTGTAGGTGTTCCATGGAGCCATAATATAATACACTGTGTTGTGTGGGTGTTTCATGAAGTCATAATATAATACACTATGTGTTGTGTAGGTGTTTCATGAAGTCATAATATAATACACTATGTGTTGTGTAGGCATTTCATGAAGTTATAATATAATACACCATATGTTGTGTAGGTGTTTCATGAAGTCATAATATAATACACTGTGTTGTGTAGGTGTTTCATGAAGTCATAATATAATACACTATGTGTTGTGTAGGTGTTCCATGAAGTT